AGAAAAGACTGGTTTTTAGCTGGTTGGTGGTGAATGGGAAGGTTCAAGGTTATTTAAAAAATAACTTTAGGATTTTAGTATGTAATTCTGAAAGGTTGCTTCATAAAAATTATTAATGATCTCTTTAAACATACATAACAAAGCTGCTTATACATCTCCCAAAACACACTTCAATATTTCAGGCTGACTCTTGCTTGCGGTGGAGTAGCTCTAAATTCCTTTGATGACCTAAATCCTGATTGTTTGGGATATGCAGGACTTGTCTATGAATATACATTGGTAAGTGTATTTTCTTTCCGAAGATAATATAATAATTTTTGGTTCATGAATTCTTCGGTAGTAAAAATTCATTCAAACTTAGGATCAGATTTTTGCTTTGTTTACATACATTTTGAAGGTTATGTGTAGTAATGATAAGCTATTGATGGGAAAAATCACTTTTATACGCAATTTTTTTTTTAAGTAATTTGCTTTAATGTGATTGGTGTGTTGTTCCCTTATTAATATGCTACTTATTCTTCCGTAAGCCCTCTACTCTTTTCATTCTTTGTACAACCATATCCTGTTTTTGAAAATATTTTCCCTTCTTCATTCACATAGGGAGAAGAGAAATTCACTTTTATTGAGAAATGTAACAATCCTCGCTCTGTCACATTATTGATCAAAGGACCAAATAAGCACACACTCACTCAAATCAAAGATGCAATAAGAGATGGCTTGAGGGCTGTTAAAAATGCTATTGATGATGGTAAGATCTTTACTGTATTTATATTCTTTGGCTAGTGTGAAAGGCATGGCTGAATACTGTGTTCTTTTTATCAGTAGTTTACACAGCCAGACACCATGCAAAAGTAAAGTCTTCCCTTTAAAATGCCTGTGATGGTGTGCTAAACTTTTTCATAGCATACCATTTTTAAAAGTGGATACAAGTAAATGAACTAATACTAAGAGCTTGCAAGTACTAGTTGAATTGAACCATTTTGCTATTTGATGTGTTGCTTATAATGCTTTCAAGTGCAGTATTAACATTGTGGTGGCTATACTACATTCTCGGGAAATTAATGTTTTTTATGTTATGTTTTATGTCTTTCCTTAAAATGATTCTACAGTTTTGTTAGTTCAGCACTTCTCTCCTCTCCCCGCCTCCCCCAGGCTGTGTGGTTCCGGGTGCAGGTGCAGTGGAAGTGGCAATGGCAGAAGCCTTGATTAAGTACAAGCCTAGTGTAAAGGGCAGGGCCCAACTGGGAGTTCAAGCGTTTGCTGATGCATTACTCATTATTCCCAAGGTATGACTGCTTTAACAGTCCGTGTTCTTAACTACATCAAAATGAGTTAGCTGATGAAAGTATTTGATAATGTGGGGTCTTTTTCATAATGTAGATTTTGAGTAAACAGGTTTTATCAGCTTTCTCCTGAACGTAGCTAGAGCAGGTATCTCTCATCATCCAAATGTATTTGGTTCCTCTGGAAGGGAATTGAGTATCTGAAGTTTCAGGTGCAGGAGATAAACTGTTTTTAGAGGGTTTGCAGTGTAGGGGTTATACTAGAGTACAAGCTTGCTTTTTGTTTTTATTCTATTATGTGCTCATTTGGGGGTATTGCTTATGATCGGTGTGTTGCTGGGCTTGAAATGGATCAATGAGTTAGTAACAGATGCCTATTCTCTGAACATAAATACTGGTCTGTCTTCATTAAGGGTTTGGGTTTTTTTTTTAAGATTTTATTTATCTATTTGAAAGAGAGAGCATAAGCAGGGGGAGCTGCAACCAGAGGGAGAGGGAGAAGCAGGCTCCCCACTGAGCAGGGAGCCCAATGCGGGCTCGACCCCAGGACCATGGGATCATGACCTGAGCTGAAGGCAGATGCTTAACTGACTTAGCCACCCAGGCGCCCCTTTGTTCGTTTTTCTTAATTGGAATTATGGTTCATTTATTGTAGATTGACTATCACTTCTTGGGTTCTGTCCTTAAAGGATTAAATTTGTTTGCTTTAGGTACTTGCTCAGAACTCTGGTTTTGACCTTCAGGAAACACTAGTTAAAGTTAAAGCAGAACATTCAGAATCAGGTCAACTTGTGGGTGTGGACTTAAACACAGGTAAGACAATGCAGCTATTAGTAGGGGGAGAACTAGATTCAGGTGAGATGAAGCCAGGAAGAATAAAAAATGCAGACAAACGAATCTTGGAGAGATGCTTTGCAGTTTGACACCAGTGTTATTAGGGAACCCTGAGTTCTAAAAAATGATATAAAAATGGAATGACTAGATACAGTAATTAATGGAATAGAGTAGACATTTGTATAATTTCAAAGAGTATGGATTTTTGATATTGCTGAGTAGTGGTAGGTGGTTAAGGTTAATATGGAAGGATTTCATGTTGGGCTGGCTTTACTCAATCTTTTATTAGGGACTTTAATAAGAAAATACATTAGATGATCATATTCATGGGTGAGAAAAGGCTGAGGGTAGCAAATGCTGGAAGATGGGACCAAGTCGTAGTGAAATGATTTAAAGCCCTCATCTTAAATGCAATAACACAAAATCGACAAATACAATAAGTGGAAGAAAGAGAACTGAGAGAGACACCCATGCGGTATGTGTAAGACCTGTTGTTGTCAATAACATCATTTACATTCAAATTAATAGAAAAGGTTTCTGGGATGAGGGAAATGATAAGCCCATTTTGGCCAGATTATATAGTTCGAGTGCTTTACTTTAAGATGGACAAACGAGAATGTGTCCTGAAAAATAGAGATGTTCAAACATTTGGTAACCAAATACAGCATTACTATTACTAGAAGTCTTCTGAGTAGAGATCAGCCACTTAATCAAAGATACTGTATACAGGAGTCACGGTTTGGAGCAAAATTGGGAGGAACTTTGGATAATGAGAATAATCAGTGATGAGCAAATCACAAAATACTCTGTTGTCTTAGCATTCTGATCTTATAACCTGCTGTGTGTGATTTTAAGAATACTGGGTTACTTTGCAGGTGAGCCAATGGTAGCAGCCGAAGTAGGCATATGGGATAACTATTGTGTAAAGAAACAGCTTCTTCACTCCTGGTAAGTTTGAGAAAGCCAAAACTAAAATAACCTTTAGGGAATCATCATACTCTTAATTTGGTGTGTTCTGTTTAATTACTTGGGTTTGGTTTTGGTTTTTTGGTTTTTGCAAAAATTGTGATCAACTGAAAGTATAGAAATAAAACTAGCCTTCCATGTTTTGGAGAGGAAAGGAGAAACTTAATTGGATATAATTTGCAGTTTGTTTGGAAATTGAGTTGAATTAGGGTTCATATCTCAAACCTGAGCCATCTGATTTTCCACTCCTTTCAGCACTGTGATTGCCACCAACATACTCCTGGTTGATGAGATCATGAGAGCTGGAATGTCTTCTCTAAAAGGTTGAATTTGAAGCTTCCCTTGTGTC